GCTCTACCACTTGAGCCACAGCACCACTTCCGGCTTTTTTCTTTTTGCTTATGTGGTGCTGGGGAATCGAACCCAGGGCCTCATGCATGCAATGCAAGCGCTCTACCACTGAGCCACCTTCCCAGCCCGGTAACAGCTGTTTTACACAAGGTGATTCATTGGATTATTGGTTGGGTTGTGGTGATGGTTGCATACTTTGTAATTTCACTGAACACACCAGACTATGTTTAAAATGAGTGAATTTTGAGGTGTATAAGTCATACCTCAAAGCCTTTTGTATTTAATGAACAAATTAAGAACTAGAAATGTGCTTTAAGTGGTAGAGCAGCTCTGAGTGAGAAAGTCTTGAGAGAATGTGAGGCCCAGAGTTCAGTAGCGCAGCACCAGCACAAATAAAAAGAAGTAGAAGAAAGTATTAAAAAATATGAAATTAAGAATGTAGCTGGATGTTGGTGGCTCACGCCTGTAATTCTATCTACTCAGGAGGCTGAGATCTGAGGATTGCAGTTCAATGCCAGCCCAGGCAGAAAACCAGAAGTGGCACTGTGGCTCAAGTGGTAGTGGGCTCACCTTGAGCTGAAGAGCTCTGGGACAGCACCTAGACCTAGAGTTCAAGCCCCAGGACAGACAGACAGACACACAGACACACACACACACACACAGTATGCAAATATTTTAGTGAAAAATATTTTAGTGAAAAAGCTTTGTAAATCCTGACAGCCTGAACTTCTATATGCACTTTCCTGCCAGGGCTGGCTTTGAACTGTGATCCTGAGATTCTCAGCCCCCTGAGCAGCTAGAATTGCAGGCGTGAGCCACCAGCTCATTTGAAAACATCAGTTCTAGCATTTTTTTTTTTAAAGAATCTTCTTTAACTTCCAAACTTAATTTTTCTAATGTCGGCTGAAGGTACCACACCAGAGAGGAAAAATTATTTATATCCAATGACCCTGGTGAGAACTGAACCACGTGAACAGCTCCTGGATCAGTTGGAAAAGAAACAGCCTCACCTGTTAAAGATGCTGAGCTCTTCAGAGAACCACGAAGGAACCAGTCAGGTAAACTTTGAAGCATCGTAAGTTAGAACTGTCCCAGCAACTGCTTATGTGGTTGCTTTCAACCACATTTTCTTGATTGTGATGGTTTAATGGGTATTTATAAGTGTCAGGATTTTTCAAGTATATATTTTAAGTGTGTTTCTTCTTACATGTCAACTGTGTTTTAATAAAGTTACAAAACTACTCATATGCTACAAAACAAATCCAATGTAATTTTTACCAATGGACCATCAGTTGGGATTTATAGAGGGATTGGCATATTTCCAAGACTCTCTGATGTTGCAATTCCAGTTTTGAAAATCTCTCAAAAAGGAGCAAAAGCATCAAGCATGGATGTTGCATAATGTTACTCTGCCCTCTTACCCTATCTTTTATGATAGTTGTCTGACCCTTCGGCCTCTTTCTTTTAATCCTGTCAGTTTTTATTTTTTTATTTTTTATTATTATTTTTTGGGTCTGGTTGTGGGGCCTGAACTCTGGGCCTGGGCACTGTCCCTCAGCTCTTCAGCTCAAGGCTAACGCTCTCCCATTTGAGCTACAGCACCACTTCCGGCTTTTTGCTTATGTGGTGCTGAGGAATCGAACCCAGGGCCTCATGCATGCAAGGCAAGCGCTCTACCACTGAGGCACCTTCCCAGCCCCTCCTGTCAGTTTTTATATTACTCAGTGTGTAGATAGGAACAGCCACTATTTAAATTGTGCCAGACACTGTGCTAAATCTACCTGTTGACTCAGTTCTTTCAGTAATCTTGAGGTATATACTAGTATTGGACCCTTCGTATAGAGAAGGAAACTAAGAACCACAAAGATCAATCAGAACCTAAATTATCAAGCCTATAATTTGTTCTTTGCAGTTACTAGTAATTATAGGAAAGTTGGGAAATTAGAAAACAGAAAGTAAACTGAAAAATGATCCTGAGATATCATTGTATAATAGGAACTTGTATTCTTTATTAAAAAACATAATAGGGGGTAGGAAGGTGGCTCAGTGGTAGAGTGCTTGCCTTGCATACATGAGGCCCTGGGTTTGATTCCTCAGTACCACATAAGCAGAAAAAGCCAGAAGTGGTGCTGTGGCTCAAGTGGTAGAGTGCTAGCCTTGAGCTGAAGGACAGTGCCCAGTCCCAGAGTTCAGGCCCCTCGACCAAAAACAAACAAAAACAAACCATAATAGGAATTAGTTCTACTAGACTATTAGACTCTGTTAATTTGTTGAGATTTAACTTTTAGGTAATATACATTGTGTTGAGTCCAAAGAAGAAAACTGCTTTTCTTTTGTGATTATCTTATTTTAGGGCTTGGAGGCAGAAATGGCAGTCCTGGAGCAATGTACTAAAGAACCTTTAAGTAAAGAACCACCTGTACATTCTGTCCATACTAGTGTGGATTACTCTTCAAGTGGTGGAGTTCCATTTTTCCAGGTACCTGATTGTTTCAATTCACATAACCCTTCCATGTCTGGCTTAAGGCAGCCATTGACTCTTTGGTGTAAAGGCACTGCTTTTCACTGGATGCAGTGGTTCATGCCTATAACCTCAGCATTAAGGAGGCAGGATGATCAGGAGTTCAAAGCCAATCTAGGGTCCCTATCAAGTCACTTTTTTGTGCAGCTAGGACTACAGGCACGAGCCACTGGCACCTGGCTAAGACACTGTTGTTGTTGTTGTTTAAAGGCATTATTTTGGTGTGGAACAGTCATTCCTTTGGGATGGCTTTTCTGTATATGTATGCCCATCCTGGGACCAAGCTCTGTTTAGCCCTGAGCTTCTTTTGCCCAAGGCTGGCCCTCAACCACTTGAGCCTTCACTCCTGGCTTTTTTTGGTAGTTAATTGGAGATAAAGAGTATCATGTAGTTTCTGCCTGGGCTGGTTTTAAACTGTGATCCTCACTGGCTCTCAGCCTCCTGAGTAGCTAGGATTACAGGCATGAGCCACCAGTACCTGGCTACTTCTTAACATTTATGAATTAAACTGGGTGTGTTGTGTGTGTGTGTTACTGGAGCTTGAATTCAGGGCCTTATGGCCTTGCTTAGTTTTTTCCACTCAAGATTGATGATCTACCACTTGAGCCATACCTCCACGTCAAACTTTTTGCTATTAAGTGGAGATATGAGCTTCTTGGATTTGTCTGCCTGGGCTTTTTTCTTCGACATGGGATCCTCAGATCTCAGTCTCCTGAATGGCTAGAATTGCAGGTGTGAGCCACCTGTGTCTGGTTGATTTGAATTATTTATCTATGTAATAATGGTAAGGAAAATATTTTCCAGGATAAAGGTAAATTTTTTTCTTGATCTATATCCTTGGCTGGTAATCTTTAGCTGTTCTGCTTCTGAGAGATAATGAGAGCAGCCCTTGCTCTCTTCTTCCTCTTAACCTAAAAGTCCTGGTGCCCATCTCTCAGCCCATCAGAGTTTGAAGGCTAAGGGGCTTAAAGACTGAGAACTGAAAGCCTTTTAGGTTATATTAGTGATTTCTTCTGCCCGAGGCGCTTAAGGATTCTCCTGTTTATTGAGCTCCTTGCTTCTCTAATCTTGTTCAAATAAATTCTGTGATCTCTTCCCTCCCTTTTTTTGGAGGGGGTACTACAAACTGCCTAGCATCTTCCTATTTACTCTGAAGATGCATACATAGAAAATTAAGATGTTCCTTATGTAGGATATTGATATCTGCATTTTACAGCTGAAATGCTACTTCTGAAGTGTGTGCATTCCCACCCCCTCACCTACTTCACCTTCTAGTTCCTGCCCCTGCTTCCTCCACCCCACCTTTTTTGTCCAGACTGGCCTTGACCCTGAAATCCTCCTGCTTTGGCTTTCTGAGTTTGTGGGGTTCCAGATGTGTGTCACCTTGCCCAGCTACCTTGATCATTATTGATCCTGGAAGTCCATACAGTATTGCTTAAGGATTTGGAGTTAGTTATTGTGAAGTCCAGAAATGATCTTTTGTCTGATAGCAGTCAAGCATGAGGAATTTGATGGGTTTCAAACTCAGGTGGTCTAGGGAGTTTCTATGGACTTAAAGCTTTCCCCTGGATTCTGGATATGGAAACCAGGGCCCTGTGTAAGTAAGTGCTCAGCTATTGAGCTGTAGCATGAGACACAACCTGCCCACTGATAATCAGAACTTTCTTCTGTTGGAAGTACCATTTTCCTTTGAAAAGCCAGTTTTCTCCCTGGTCAAGTGCCTCAGCTTGAGTGGATGACTTCATCCCTCAACAGGGGAAAGGGGAAGTGAGCTACCACCCACATAATCAGTTTATTCCAGTCGCCACAGTGGCCAATCACTGAGATTTTACAGTGGAACTTTTTTTTTTTTTTTTTTTTTTGTCGGTCGTGGGGCTTGAACTCTGGGCCTGGGCACTGTCCCTCAGGTCTTCAGCTCAAGGCTAGCGCTCTACCACCTGAGCCACAGCGCCACTTCCGGTTTTCTGGTGGTTTATTGGAGATAGGAGTCTCACAGTCTCTCCTGCCCGGGCTGGCTTTGAACCGCGATCCTCAGATCTCAGCCTCCTGAGTAGCTAGGATTACAGGCGTGAGCCACCAGCGCCCGGCTTACAGTGGAGCTTTTGTCACAGTTATTAAGCAACATTTTTTTTTCAGTCAGGGCTGATAAGCTAGAAAGGTATAACTCTAGAGCTATCCCCAGACAGTTTTGTACTATAAAGTAGGTTTATGAGTCTTAGCATTGATGAACAGTGTGCAGGGAATGGTAACAGTATTTTATAGTTCTTTATGGGCAAACAGGAAGATTGTAGTGAAGTATAATTCCCAAATATGAAATGTAAAGCACACTTTAAAAATAAAACATCGAAGCGTTTTAAGGTATTCAAGGTATCAGCTTTTCTTGCTTGAAATAGAATTCCTGATCTGCTTTCCTAGCAGGGTTTCTAGCAGCAGCACAGATGACATTTTAAAGTGGATAACTGCTGTGACTCTCCTGGTGACTCTGATGGTTAGTAGCTTCCTGGCTTGTCATAGAAGCCAGTAAGCACTCTCAAAATGTCACTGGTGGAAGAAGTCACCCCCTGTTAGAAAACCACTTCACCCTACTTCTTCCTTACTGCTAAAATAAAGGAGGCATTCACAGGTAAAAAGGAGGCATTCACAGGTACCTTCCAAAAGAATTGCTGGCCCTAATGTGTGCTAAAGCTTTATTGAAGTTTTTTACATTTAAGCCTTTTTGCCTATAATCCAGAAAACTTTGACAAACAGTATAGGAACTAGGTGCCAGTGGTTCATGCTAGCCCAATCCTATTCAGGAGACAGATCTGAGGATCATGGTTTGAAGCCAACCTGGGCAGCAAGGTCCATGAGACTCTGATCTCCAAGTTAACCAACAAAAAGCTGGAAGCAGAGCTATGGCTTAACTGTTAGAGCGCTATCTTTGAGTGAAAAACTAAAAGCTCCAGAATGTCTCCCCTCTATCTCCCCAGCCCCCCAAAAAAGGGAAGGAACAAATGAAGCTGGGTGCTGGTAGCTCACACCTGTAGTCTTAGCTACTCAGGAGGCTAAGATCTGAAGATCATGGTTTGAACCCAGCCCAGGCAGAAAAGAGTCTCCTGTGAGACTCTTATCTCCAATTCACCGCTCAAAAACTGGAAGTGTCGCTATGACTCAAGTGGTAGTGCTGCTAGCCTTGAGTTCAAGCCCCACAACCACCACCACCAACAACAACAACAAAAAGGAACAAATGAAAGCAAGCAAGAAAATATAGTATAGGTAATGTGTACTGAATGATATATATCTTTTTACTTTTTAAGTAGTAGTTGTACAAAGGAGTTGCCCTTTAACAAAGCAGTTTGTGAATACAATTAATCTTGATCAGTGTTACCCCTTTCAACATTCTAAGCCATCCCTTCCCTACCCACCTCTTCCTGAACTCTTCTTAATTTTGTAGAATACACAGTTCTTGACTGCAATTCCTCCTCTTTATTTGTCTCTTCTTAATTTTGTAGAATACACAGTTCTTGACTGCAATTCCTCCTCTTTATTTGTCTCCCCCTCTCCCTTTTCAAGTCTTCTTTCTAGTATTTATTTTGTTGCACTTTGACTTTGCCTTTCTAAGGAATTACACTATTTGAGTTCTCCCTTGAAACTACCATATTTCAGTTAATACATCTGTATACACTTGCATACCACCCAATGTATTTACTTACAGGAAGCTAATTCTTGCTTCCACATAATAGGGAAAACATGCATCCCTGTCTCTCTACGCCTGACTTAAGTCTACTTAACATAATATCAGGTCTTTCCATTTCTATACAAATAATACAATAACTTTTTTTTCTAATAGATGAGTATTGAATGTTATATTGATTTAATTTCTCTTTTTAAATCCACAGCATAAAAAAACACATGGAAAAGACAAAGAAAACAGAGGTGTTAACCCAGTGGAGAGGTCTAAACTGGAAGAAACTACAGAGCATCCTGTTACAAAAAGCAGATTACCACTGCGAGCCCAGATAAACTTCACTTAACACGAGGGTTAGCAGTATGAAGAGAAATAAAACCTGAAATGCCAGAGCTGAAATCTTGTGTACAGATGAAAAACGAATCATATATATCTAGGCAGTGTAACAAAAATAGTTAAATTTAGTATCTACCCATTTTTTTGTCCTTCCTGTATGTATTAAGTTGAATTCCATCTGGATTTTTGCATTGAGTAATATGTTTCTACCTTTTCATATAAAGTAGCCCTTAATAGCAAATGAAAAGCTTTGTTTTTTTTTAATTTTTTTTTATTAAATATTGAGTCTATAGGAACCAGATTGTTCTAGGCTGGGACTTGCATATGTAAATATCACCAGCACAGCCTTGGAAAACCCCATTTCTTCATTCTCTGCTGTGTCTTAGTTAAGTATATTTTCTTTACTTTTCTATTTTTGCTTTCTTGCTGCTTTCTGTCTTTTTGTTTCATCCAACAATTTGCAGGGCTACAAGAAAATGTCTTTCTTATTATGAGAAGGACAAGATTTAACTAGAAGTCTTAAAACACGGTTCATGCAGTTACCTCTAAAATTACTGTTAGTACTAAAAGTCCTGGAAGTAGCCCTCTTGAGCATTTTTGTTCGCCCCAGATATGAAAGCATTTCATTCCTTTGTGAAGCCTAACACATTAGCTTCTCAGAGTTCACCAACACCCAATACCCATCTTCCATGGAATACAGACTGTGGTTATGGAAGGTCTGCCTACATCTCTGTTTCATGGCTTTGTGGCCTCACTCTAAAGCTTTTGTCTTTTGATATGGTCATAATGACTTAAGGGCTTTTATTGATATCAATTATGACTATAATTTATATTCCTTTGCTTACCTGATAAAACTTTGGTTTTTTTGTATATAATAAAATGTGTTTATGTACATATTTCTCTGCTGGAATCTTAACCCTTAAAAGGGCCCCAATACTTTGATCTGGCAACCATGTTTCTGGATGTTGTTGAGATATTTAATATCAAGAACCAGAACACCTAAAAGAAATAGAGCAGCCGGGCACCAGTGGTGTTACTCCTCCACACTCAGGAGTCTGAGATCAAAGACAGCCTGGGCAGGAAAGTCCAGGAGACTTTTTTTTACCTCCAGTAATCTACTCAAGAAAGTCTGAAGTGGTGCTGTGGCTCAAGGGGTAGAGCGCTAGCTTTGAGCAAAAGAAGATCAGGGACAGCACCCAGGTCCAGAGTTCAAGCCCCAGGACTGCAAAAAAAAAGATCCAAAGAATAAATGTTGCGCCTAGTATTTAAAATGAGAGGTAGGACGTGGTGTGTGTGTGTGTGTGTGTGTGTGTGTGTTTTGCTGGTCATGAGGCCTGAAGAGTGTGTGTGTGTGTGTGTGTGTGTTGCTGGTTATGAGGCGTGTGTGTGTGTGTGTTGCTGGTTATGAGGCGTGTGTGTGTGTGTGTGTTGCTGGTTATGAGGCCGTGTGTGTGTGTGTGTGTGCGCGCGTGTGTGTGTGTGTTGCTGGTTATGAGGCCTGAACTCTCTCTGGGCCTGGGTGCTGCTCTTCAGCTCAAAGCTAGCATCCTACCACTTGAGCCAGAGAGCCACTCTCTGGCTTTTTCTGCTTATGTGGTGCTGAGGAATCAAACCCAGGGCTTCATGCCTGCAAGGCAAGCACTCTACCATTGAGCTACCTTCCCAGCCCCAGCACTTTTTTGTTTGTGAGACATAACATCTTGCTTTGTGGACCAGATTGTCCTCAAATTCACAGCCTAGCTCAGCCTCACCAGTGTCAGAATTGCAGACATTCACCACCAATATTTGGCAAAAATGTTATTTTTTCCAAACTAAATTTACATGTAGAAAAATAATTGTTTTAATGAAAACAATGGATGTAATTTTGTGTGTGTATGCCAGTTCTGGGGCTTGAACTCAAGGCTTGGGTGCTGTCCTTGGGCTTTTTGTTTTTAACTGTATTTTTTTGTGTGTCTTTTCTTTCTTGGTACTGGGGATTGAATACAGGATGTTGTACTTGCTAGACAAGTGCTTTGCCACTAAGCTACATTCCAGCCCTGTCCCTGAGCTTTTATTCTCAAGACTAGTCTTCTATCACTTGAGCCACATCTCCACTTCTGGCTTTTGGGTAGTTAATTGGAGATAAAAGAGTCTCATTGGCTTTCTTGCCTAGACTGGCTATGAACTGCAGTTCCAGCACCTGACTAATTAATAGACATAATTTTTTTTCTTTTTTTTCCTGGTCAGTTTTGGGGCTTGAACTTGGCCTATGTGCTGTCCCTGAGCTCTTTTGCTCAAGGCTAACATTTTACCTCTTTGAGCCATACTTCTAGTTTTTTGGTAGTTAAAGGTCTCATGGACTTTCTTGCCTGGGCTGGCTTTGAACTGCAATGTTCAGATCTCAACCTCCTGAGTAGCCGGGATTAGAGATGTGAGCCACCAGTGCCCAGCAATGGACATAATTTTCTATGCATGCATGTCAACATAAGCTATATATGATATCTAATCATGCTTCTTGGTAAGTCCATAATTAATGTATTTTGTTTGTTCACTATAACTTGCTTGATCTATAATTCCTTACCTGGCAATGATATATATATAGAGTTAAGCAAGTTGCATCAAAACTTCTAAAATAAACTTACACTTGAGTACCTCTCAATGAGAAAGGCACTAGCCGGGCGCTGGTGGCTCATGCCTGTAATTGTAGTTACTTAGGAGGCTGAGGTCCGATGATCATGGTTCAAAACCAGCTCTAGCAGGAAAGTCCATGAAACTCTTATCTCCAATTAACCACCAGAAAACTGGAAGTGGCGCTGTGGCTCAAGTGGTAAAGCCCAGAGTTCAAGCCCCATGACTGACCAATAAAAAAAGAAAGGCCCTGGTAGACATGCCAGCCTCCAGTTGTACTCTAAGGAGCTGCACCTTAGGTCCAGTGAGTATGATTCATAAAAAACACCCACATACAACCTCAAGTACAGCTTAAATAATCTAATTCCTTAACTATTTTAAAGCTGTTGGGAATGCTAACACTAATATAACCATGTGACAAGCACAAATAAGGCTCCAGAAATTTTAACATTCAGAGTCATAAATCAGCTCTATAAACTTTCATATGCAATATCAGGCACTCAGCCAAGAGTTGGTATTGGTTAATAAAAAAAAAAAGATGTGGTAAAAAGAGGATGATGATGATGAATTGAATTTGAGCATTACAGGCCTGGCCTACATAGTGAAATCAGAACTTGTTCCTTCTTAAAGACATTGAAAGAGGGCTGGGAAGGTGGCTCAGTGGTAGAGTGCTTGCCTTGCATGCCTGAGGCCCTGAGTTCGATTCCTCAGCACCACATAAGCAAAAAAAGCTGGAAGTGGCACTGTGGCTCAAGTGGTAGAGCGCTAGCCTTGAGCTGAAGAGCTGAGGGACAGCGCCCAGGCCCAGAGTTCAGGCCCCACGGCCCGGGGGGAAAAAAAAAGACATTGAAAGATTAATCAAAACAAAACATGCAGAAACAACATTCAAACTCTGGAAACAGTCAAAAGTTTATAGTCAACAAGCACATGCCTAATTATGGAAAAGACAGCCCAAGCTGGCACTAGCAATGTCTATAATCCTAGCTATTCAGGAGGCTGACATGTCAGGATCTCGGTTGAAGCCAGTCATGACAGACAAATCCATGGAGGATATTCAAAGTGCTGATATTCAGTCTCTGACAAGAATTCCATATCCAACAAAACTTTCCTTTTTAGTGAAGGAGAATCTAAATCACTTCAAGATAAAACAGAATTTAACATCAGCAAGCAGTGGCTATTAGTCCATCAGACCATCAGACCAAAATGAAGAAACACTAGAGAACAACTCTAGTCTACATGAAGAAATAGAGCATCGGTTTTGGTAACTAAATAGGTAAATATAAGACTAAACATTTTTTGCTTAGTGTTTCTTTTTCCTCATACATGATTTAAAAAAAAAAACTACATCAGGGGCTGGGAAGGTGGTTCAGTGGTACAGTGCTTGTCTTGCATGCATGAGGGCCTGGGTTCGATTCCTCAGCACCACATAAGCAGAAAAAGCTGCAAGTTGTGCTTTGGCTCAAGTAGTAGGGCGCTAGCCTTGAGCAGAAGAGTGGAGGGACAATGCTCAGGCCCCATGACTGACTCCCCCCAAAATATAAATAAAAACTACATCAAACTACAATTTTATGTCTGTGCTGATGGTCATACTGTATGAATATGTAATTTGTATCCAATGCCATAATGAAGGGAAGGCAGCTATATAGAAGATTCTGTATGCTATTAATCTGAAATAGATGGTTAACTGAAGTGACTATAATCCTCCAAACACAAAAGGGAGTGATTAAAAACTACTATAAAAGAAAACATGACAAAGTGGTAAAAAAAATATTTCATACAAAATAGCCGTAATAGAAGACAGGGAAAAAAAAAGATATAAGACATAGAAAGTACAATCAGATAGCAAGATCCTTTTCTAATGGTAATTATATTAGATAGATCAGAACAATCCAGTCAAGAGTCAGATTGGCAGAATCTTAAAACATGATCCACTGGGTGCTGGTGAATCTTGCCTGTTATCCTAGCTACTCAGTTCAAAAGCCAGCATGGGCAGACGTTTATGAGACTCATCTCCAAGTAACTAACAGAAAGCTGGCATCAAAGGAGGAGGGGAAAACCCATGGTCTTAACTATATGGTGTTTTAAATTCAACAACAGAAAGAGAAAAAGAAGGATTGTGATGGAGTCCTATAGTGGTTATTTTAATATCTTCCCAAATAGACAAAACTTGTTACTAGATACAAAAGATCTCTTGCCTGGGACTGGTCTTGGACTCCTGGACTCTAGTGATCCTTCTGCCTCAGCCTCCTGAGTGGTAAAATTACAGGATTCACTACTGTGCTGGGCTCATTTTGTTTTCAGAAATAAAAAGACTTTGTCATCACCAAATTCATTACAGGAAGTATTGTTCTTTAAGTGATGCCAAATGACATCTCAGAGATGTAGGAAAGAATAAAGAGCAATAGAGAATATAAATGCACTAAAAAAATTACTATAAGTGACAATGTTTTGTAGAGTCCAAACTGTTAGAAAATTAAAATCCTGAAGCATGAGCATGAAGCGGGGGAGGAGGAAACTTGATTGTCTGAGGAGGCAGAAAGGTTCTGTTTTATATTAGATTTTGGCAAGTAAAACATACCAAAATATTAGGCAAAATTTTAGGCAAAATATTAGCAAAATTTTAATTATTGTGGGGAACCATGAAAAGGATAGTTAAAAAATCTAAAGTAAGTTAATGCACAGAGGTAATAGTTATTTAAATCAAAAACCAGAAAAAGAAAAGAGGAACATAGAACAGGTGGCCCAAATACAATTAATAAGAGGGTAAGCTTCAAATAAAATGTTTAATTATAGTAAATTTTAAAAATAATGCAGATTACACAAACAAAGCTTATAGACGGGGATAAAGTGAAATTCTAACTATATTACCTTCTAGAGTATGAAGGCATGATGGTTAATCCTGATTGTTAAATAGATTGGATTAAGAGACACTTAGAGAATTTGTAAATCTATTAACAGTCTGAGAACATTTGTAGAGATTTGTCTTGTGGGACAACAAACTTGAGTAGGAGGGTCGGATGGGTGACAACCGTATACTTGCCATGAATGATGGAGGCACCATCCAGTAGGCTATGGGCCAAAGTAGAATGTGAGGACGTCCTTCAGTGCTTTCAAGCTGCTTTTTTTTTTTTTTTCCTGCCAGTCCTGGGGCGTGAACTCAGGGCCTGGGCACTATCTCTGAGCTTCTTTTGCTCAAAGCTAGCACTCTACCACTTGAGCCTCAGTACCACTTCCAGCTTTTTCTGTTTATATGGTACTGAGGAATGGAACCCAGGGCTTCATGCA